ACTGCTTGGAAATGTCTTTCTCAAAAATTTCACCAGAACACTCTTCCGGAAGAGAGAAGGGTCCAAAGGAAGAAAGGGAGACATTTTAAATTATTGGACTCATTTTAAAGTTTACTCCCTCCTTTTTCTTTACTTGAAAAAATGTAAATACCTTTCAGGCACATTAACATTAAATACTGGGGGGTGAGAAGGAGGAAGGCTATGACAATATTAAAGTTTTGGGAGGATTCTGGATGTACCTCTGTCAACATAATAGATGCAGTGTTTTTGCTTTTACAGACAGAAGTGAAAAAAAGTATGTCTGCCAAAAGGTGGATTAAGGATTAGTTAAGAATATTTATTTAATTTTGTGAATTTGGGTTTTGTGGCAAATTATAAAGAATATTCTGAAAGACAAACTGTTGGCAAAACATCTTAAATACAACTGAGGAAAGTGCACGCACTAGTGTCTGGCATCAATCCTGTAAGCTTCTCAGAGGTGGTTCCAATAAATTCAGAAAGCCCTTACACATTTTGAGATAGATATGTCAGGAAAATCAGAATCCTTCCAGTTCTGAAAGATAAACAGTATTATTTATCTATAAAATGTTTTGAAATGAAGTTACATGTGCAGAGAAAATTGAAGAATATTAATCCTGAGTGTTTTGTCTGCTATGTGGCATACAGATTTTTTTCACCTGTCCACTGGATGCTTTTCTTCTTTTAGTTTAATCGATAAATGCATAACAAAAGTTTGTAAATGCTTCAAGATAATTTTATTAAGAAAATAAAAGGTCTGCTACATAGCATCAATGTACACAATTTCAATCAAGAGCTGGCTAGCAGATCATCAAAGGATACATTAAATTGATATTGAATTGTTTCTAATTGTATCCAGCAGGCACCTTTACGAGGCCCAGTGCTATTCAGTATTCCCAGCAGAGACCCAGAGGTACAAATTACCGTGCTGAGGATCTGAGGATGACGGAAAGATTACTCGGTGAGTACGTAATTATGAAACCAAGGAAGAGGAGATCTCTTTATCAGCTAGATCCAGTGCGAGAAATTAGCATCTTAGGAGATGAATACATAGTTAAATATAATACAAATGGATTTCACTCCCCCAAAAATGGAGTACAGTGACATGGAGTACCACAACTCTACAAGGATTTAGGGGCCATAGTGGACCAGCAACCCAACACAAGCTCCCACCATGAAGCTGCATAAGCAGAGAATGTAATCCTTGAATCCTGATGCAATTTTTGGAATAATTCCCAGAGATCTGTTGTCCATATTTTAATGAGAATGGTGGGAAAAAAATTGGAAACTTCACAAAATTGCATTTAAAATTAATTTGAGAGCAGAAGAAAAATATTTGCTGTGAAAGCATAAACTCAATGTCTTTGATAAAGGCATAACAATGTCTTTGAGAAAGGAAGGCTGAGTATGACTTGATTAAAGTTTATAGATCATGGGAGAAAAGCCTCACACACAGATTCTTTATCCTGAAGGGGAACATAACAACCACCCAACCACTTCCACCATCACTCCAAATAAACAAATAAATACATAAATAAATAAACAACACTGAAAAATCAGAAACAAAATATTTTTTTACTAATGAAAATAAGTGTGAAATATATTGCCCAAAAATGAGAAATCATGCCTATTGGCATACCTTCAAGTCATGATACAATTTAAAATTTCACCATAAATTTCCTATTCCTTAGTTAAATGATAATTTTATTGGACTTGATACCAAATGAATGAAATTGATAAAATTTAAAGGTCTTAAACATACCCACAAACTGAGTTTGGATTTCAGAAATCCAAATCAGAATAGAAGAAAAAATAAAACACAAATAAATTAAAATTACCTATTCAAAATTACAGTGTCTGAAGATCTGTGGCCCGACTTGAGACTTTTGTTATAATCCTAAGTGAGGACTCTAAACCATATGTTCCACTGTGGTATGTATTGCACAACTATGGAAAATGTCTTAATGTAGGTATTTTTCATTCACATAAAATTGTCTGTAAGAATTTATATCCCAGCTGGTATGATGTTATACAGAAACAATATCATGTGTTGTTCTGCAAGTTGTGCATATGTTTAGTTTCTGAGGCCAAAAATCAGGATGTGGTTTGAAGAAAAGTGGGAGGAGTCAACTAGTAAAAGTGTTATACCATATGACAACCTCAAAAAAAAAAAAAAAAAAGAGCATATCAGTGGGGAAAATATATAGCAGAAGCAGAGACGGCCTTTACTGCAATAACCAGTGATCTGCTGTGCACATGTGCACATTCTCATACCACTGGAGTTTTAAAAGTATAGCATTGCAACCTGTGTTTGCATAGTTGGAACATCTGTAACAATACAAAAAAAAAAATCACTTTTTTGTGATGCGATCTGCTACTTTTTGCCAGCATTATTTATTCTGAATTTCAGTATATTAGATATATATCAAATTATTAAGACTTTTTATTTATTAGATATTAGATATCTATTACTGTTATTAGTTTTATTATTGTTTTATTATTTATCATATGGCTTTCATATCTAAGACAGGAGACAGTGTGGTTATGTCCCACTGTAGAGAAGTACATTTGTAGGCTTGCTGCTGATCTAGTGAGGCTTCTGAGTAATTTCCTGCTGGAAGGTAATGGTCTGCAAGTCAACTCAGTGGTTTTTAAGGGTACAAGGATGATAGCAGTCATGATTTGGAAAGTGCCCAAACTGTAAAAGATTTAACATGCCTCATCCTCAGGTAAGTCATGCATTTTCTTAAGTCCAAAAATGTTTTACTGACAGACCTAATAGAACCAATTGGAAACATTTTTTTGATCCTTAAATTAACATACTAGGTCTCCTTGTGTATTAAACTTGGGTTAGAGATTCACAGTGCAGTGAAAGTAAACAGCTTCCATCTCAGAGCACACATAACACATTAATTAAAAAAAAATCTTCAAAAGCAGTTTATGTACATTTACTCTTGATACATAAGCCTGTTGAAATTGTAGGAGAAACAGCCTTTTTGAGGAAATCACAGGATTTGTAGCTTCCTGACTGTTTTCTGTATTCATTTTTTGAAGTGTGTTGAAATTTTCAGGTTCCATATGGACACATTTAGTCGCCTAAACTTGTCTATTAGGTTCAATCAGGGTTTTAGTAATTATTTTTTTAATTATATGTTTGCTGACTGTATGATTGATGAAAATAAATAATCACCAGATGGAATGAAGTTCTGCTGCTTGAACTTATGCAAGTAATGCAGTTAAAGTAACTTGAAATAACAACATGCACAAATTTGTCATTTTCACAATTAAAACATAAGCCCTAAAGATGCTTCTATTTATTTAAATCACTGGATTTAATTAAAGACAGATAACAAATTGTTATCAAAGGTTAATCTATTTTTGAGCCTTTAATTCACCAACAAGTATAACACATCCATTTTTATAATACAGTAATTATGGTAGAGTAGATACATTATCAGGCTCTATTATAGTAGAGCCTGATACATTTGGTGGCATCCTGTGAGTGTGTCAGTGACAAGTGTCAAGCATTTCATACACCTGTGCTTCAGCTGTGAGCTGGCACTTACCACTGGCAAAATTTCAGGTAACAGACACTATTGTCCCTTCACTGATAACCTAAAGAGAAAAATGTTGCATTCTTTCTTTTGATACTTTGATTTAAAAAAAATGTAATTCTGTATCTGCTTTGTTAATTGACTTTCCTACCCTTAAATGGTGAAAGTTTCAGACAGAAGCCAAATTATGGGGCTTCTTATGTCTCTAGCCTTATAAATTTGGGCCCTTGCTCCAGGCCAGAACACATTTCAAGACTGTTTGCAAGAGCAGGGAGCTACACTCGGGGTCAAGGTATAGGATATGCCAGAGGACAAATCTGCACAGTCCCATTGCATCACTCTGTGGTGACAACCAGCCACACTAGAGGAGAGCTAAAGGCTGGCAACATGGGGCAGGGGTCAGGAGACACCACCCTAGGCATAATCCTTGTCTGTTGTCAGAATAAACGTGATTACTACTGCCAGAATAAACTGTGGAGAGGCCATTTGCTTGTTGTATTTTATATTTACATAGGTTTTCTACAGATTCCACTAATTTCCTGTTAATTTACTTTTCTGTATCATAAAATATGTACAGTCATACAACAACAGTCCTCTTTCTGTCAACAAAACTCTCTACAGGAGATTCACAACACAAGTTTTTTTTTTCTTTTTAATCTTGTTCTGTCAAGAAATAGTAATGAAATCAGCCTGCTTATCTAATGGGAAAGCCATGGCATTTAAGACGTTAGCCAGACGAAATGTTGCTGAAAGTTTAGTAGCTGAAATACTAAGATATGGGCCATACTAATTTCAAGGGTTTGTGAGGATGACAGAATTCAGATGAAGAAGAAGCCTCTTTTATTCCCAGCAACTCTCATTTCTATCAGTCTCCAGAGACTTGCATGTTCCAGAGAGGATACCAAAAATCAGTCCATTAAAGTTTAAAAAATAAAATAACAAAAAAAAGCGAAACAAAAAAATGCCCCACGTAAACATTGCCTACACTGCCCTAGAGACCTATCTCCTCCAGGATGTGTAGCCTAAACTTTTATTTTAAAAATATGAGGTCCAACAGACAATTAATACCCTATGAAACACTTCTCTCTTTCATTGTGAAACTTCTAGAGACTGCACAACACTGCAAAAAGGGCATTATCATATTCTATTTGCAGACAGGGCAACTAAGATTAAATGCCCAACACACTTCTGAAGTAGCAGCAAAGAACAGGCCCTAGATTGTTTTTTCAAGCTACCCTAACACACTGTCAAACAAATCTTTTTTTTCCCCTGCCTGAAGGTTTTCTTCACTGTGAAATGCTTTTTTTTTTTTTTTTTTTTTTTTTTTTTTTTTTTTTTTTTTTTTTTTTTTTTTTTTTTTTTTTTTTTTTTTTTTTTTTTTTTTTTTTTTTNTTTTGCTTCCTACTATTTTTTAAGAAAATTAGACAATTTCTCCAGGTTTTTGTTTTATTTTATCTTTATTATTTCAGAGATCCTCTCACAGTTTGGCAAACCAATAACTTTCCAGGGTGCATTTATTAATTTCTGTTGAATAACCTTGATGTCTTAATGCTTCCTTTGTGAATGGAAAAAAAAAAAAGTCATTACTTGTGCTTCCTCTTAACATCTACATTCCCACACTTAGTACAGAAACTCTTGCTGATATATCTGGAAATTGTACTAATTGTCACTATATTTGATTCAGAGAAACCTGTCTTAAACAGGAAAGGAAAAAAAAAAAGGCAGGACAACATTAAAACACATAGTTAAACATTTACCTAAATTTGTAACCAAAAATATATATAAATACTGAGGTGTAAGGCTGATAAAACAATAAAATTCATTGCATGAATCAGTAATTTTCCCTTTAAAATAGTCTAAAGTCCTAATCAACTAAAATATATTCTCCTTCAGTGAATGGTCAAAGCTTTGTCCTCCAAGCTATGTCAATTTAAGTAGTCATTAATGCAAGCAATGATGGAAACATCCCATCTTTCATGTTCCTCTCGTAGGACAAAAATCATATAATACAATGAAATAGAATTTAAGCAAATTTAAAGCAATAAGATTTTTCTGCCCCAGATTATGTCCTGTTTCTTTTAGAGCTTTCGGAAGCCTTAATGGTTCATAGCAGTGGGCAACAAAGAGTGACCTCTGAACAGTCAGTTCTGGGATTTAGACATGTAAATATTTTTTTCTCTTCCAACTTGAAAATGAAGGCTTCAGTTTGCTCTGCTACCACTCGTGGGGCTTTGTCTGATGACACAGATGTAGAAGCTTTGAGAAAAATGGAAATGTTAGTTGCCAGGAGCAAAACCGTGAGCAAATCCTGGTAAGTGTGGTCTCTCATCCTGTTGCAGGTCACCATCTCCTTTCTGTCCCTTACCCAGTGGTGGGGGCTGTTCCAGTGCTGCTGTTCTGTGCTGTGCTGGATCTTTGTGACTTGCAAGGTTTGTTCACATGATTACAGGCAAGAGAGGCTTTAAAGTACACAGCCTGTTAAATTCCAGTAAATGCGCTACTGCATATTTTAGAGGGAGCTCCTTACCACATGGTTCACAATTAGTGTGTCCATTTCAGCACTAAAAAGATACCTAGGAAAAGAAAATGTGTGTGTAAGTACAAAAAAGTATCAGAATAGAGCACTTAGACTAAATAATTAATACCATTTCATGTTTTGCAACCATATATTTTAGTCATCAAAGATGACTAAGGCTACAAATTCATGTTTATTGACAAGGATACATTTCATAAGTCACCATTTAAAATGGATTTTTATGGCTGGTCTTAATAACCAAGAGGCAAAACTATATTGCACTACACAAACATACTGCAGATACAAGTTAAATGGCCAAAAGACAGTAGAACAGTTATTGAGTCAAAACAAGAAAGAATTGTTCTATTCTCCCTGTATCTATCATTTTAAATATGAGTGAAATCACCAGTTAGTCTAAAAAAACAAAGTTAACAAATTTACCAGGCTTGCAACACACTATAAGTTTGCATTATGAGTTTACATAACTAATTATCATCATAGGTGTGCTTCGTAACGCTGATTTCAGCAAAAGCACTACCAGGAAATATGTTTTATACCAAAACATAACATTTTCTCACCTCATTTTTACCAGTCAGTACATTCACTTTTCTTTTACATGGTTCTACTTTCCTCCACATTTCTTCATGTTCTTACATAATTATCAGACTAATAAAAAATATTTTAATCCAAATAATCCAGTTTCCTTTTAAGAACTTTTCCAGTAGTGTCCTTAATAGTTTAAGCAGAAATATAGTCAAAAACATTTTGCTCTCCTGAGGCATATAATAGTTACACATAAAAAATAGCTTGCTATAGCTTCCTATTCTACCACAGTTGCAACATGGGGTTTATGTAACATTTAAAAAAGGAAAAGTTGTTTCATGATTCTGCAGTATCTTGTGTTCCTGCATTGGGATGGGTTTATACTTCGTATAAGTACAACCCCGCTATGCTTTCTAACCATGACAGTGTCAGCTACTTTCAGTCTTTTCTAGCTTAATGTCACAGCACAGATGGAAGCTTCAGAGCTGCCAGTGAAGCTGCTTGTGGGGCCACTCCTTACTCAACTCAGCCAGGGTGTACCCTACAAATTTAAATATGTGATTCATCAAAGAGGGTAGGGATTGCTCTGGGATTGTAAATTCTGGTACCAAATAAAGGATCAGAAGCTTAGGGCAAGATGAAAACTGTAGATATAGATAACAAAGATACAGTTAGAAGAAAACATATTATCAAAAACCAAGTTAAACATACTTATATTTTACTATCATAGAACTTTTTCACCAATAGATGATTTTATATTTGAAAAGTGGCTAATATTACTAAAGTAATTCCCAGCTACTAGTAGGAGCTTTACACGGTGACTTAATACAGTATAAAGTGACTTAAGATTCAAATATGCCTCAGGATGATTTCAACAGTGACTATTTGAAAAGAATACCCCAAAGAAATCCACTAAAAAGTCCATTCTTTAAACATTCCCCAAAGAATTTCTGTCAGCAAAACACAGAAAATGTTAAGCAATAATAACTAAACTTCTGTAAAACAAAAAAGAAACTCCTATTCTACAGTTTTCTTACCTGAGCTGGATAGACTGCAATTCATAATTGAAAGATTTATTCAGAACTGAATATGTAAAACTCTTAAAACCAGTGTTAAAATACCTTACAGGTCTCAGCTCTCTCCTTCTTTTTTTTTCATCACTCCATATGTTTCAGTTTATTCCCTAATGTACTGACCAGGAAGAAATAAGCCTACAGTGAATCTCTTTTTTTTTTTTTTTTTTTTTTTTTTTTTTTTTTTTTTTTTTTTTTTTTTTTTTGTGGGGAGTTTTTGTTATTGGTTGAGGTTTTTGGTTTGGTTTGGATTTTTTTGTTTGTTTTCCTTTAAGTTATGCTGCATATTGCTGCCTATTTGGATCAGGCATGCTTTTATTTAGTACTCTCTATACCTTATTCACATCTGTCAACAAAAAAAGCACATCGCAGTCACACACCAAGGCACAAGTCACAAAACTCACAGAAAAAGTAAAAGAAATGATATTTATATGTCATTTTGATAGTCAAGGGAGAAGAAGTGTCCCAGTCCCTCTTTCTAAAAATAATGCTTCATACAGGTGTCATCTCTGTATTTTACTGGAGTTATCAAAAGAAAAAAAGTTGTCATTTACGGAAGTTGCTTCCTGCTATTGAAATAAAATGATGTGCTTTAAATCACAGTTCAGTTCTTCCATACCTTTCTTCCAAGAAAATCACGCTTACGTGTAGGGAAATGGGAAAAAACAGTTTTATTAACCCACCGTCAACCTCTATCTTCTACACAAATAACACACAGAAACTCTCTTTTGGTCATCTACTCCTACCAAAAATTGATTTAAAGTGTTTGCTATGTCTTAAAAAAAACCAACTAAAAACAAGACAAAAAATAGTAAAAAAAAAAAAAAAACAGTTACTCCTGCCATCCATAGCAATGATGTGCTCATAAAAAAACCTCACCATATTCTCTTGTCAGGTATACCTAATAGAGATTAAGAAGTCTCTAATTAGGGCATTAATTCCACAGTGCAGTGCAGTTGCATGCAAACTCCCATTTACTGACAGGTGCAATATGTGGGTGCAAATTTCTTGGCATTAGCAATCTACTCTTTTGCATTTACATTGCTAAGCAACATCATTGCATTGATTGACTTATGTACAGTACTACACTTTCACCTCTTAGGTACAGAAAGAAAAGATTGATTCCAATTTCGGTGCCACAGTTTTAAACAGATGCAGCACCAATGAATTAGGTGCACTTACTCCTAATTTACAGTCATGGAAGAAAAATAATTTTCTTGATTACCCTACTATTTAGAAAGCTCTAACTCTTTTGGATAGAATAAAGTTACACTGGTCTGAAACTCGCATGACAGTCAGGGGCACAGTTACATGTATTTTTCCACAAGAAGATGGCAGCTGTCCTCAAAGTGTAATGTGAGTTAACTAGGAAAAGGTGATTGACTGATGCTGAGGTTAATTGCTTGTTGGCATGCTAGAAAGCCTATGCTAACAAGTGCTGCTTATAACTAACAAGTGCCAATTATTTCCTTATATTCCAGAACACATTATATTATGCTAGGCACTATACAAACATCCAGAAAGATACAGACATCCCTACCCAGATCTGATAAGTTAATGATTTAAGAAAACCATGCAAGTTACTGATGAAAATGGGTCAGGGCATGTGGCTTATCACAAATGTACAGCTCTTCATACAATCCTACGAGAAAGAAAAACTTTGTTAAAGCTATCAATGCACAGAACATGTATTCACAATGAAAGTATAAATAGTTGTCTGGTCATAAACTTTATTTTCTCGGTTGCTGATCAAAAGCTTACACTAACAGATAGTGCTTATTATGTCATTATTAGAAACCTCTGAAATCTTTAAAATATTTTAATCCTGTTTCCACATTTTTGTGGAAAAAGAAAATATATATATATAGTTGGTGACCAACTGCACTTAGAAGCTTGACAAAACTTGCCATTTAATAGGTAGATTGCTATGTAAAATATTGCCTGATATTTGTATAATGCATTCACCTGGCTTGAAAAAATGCTGACAGAACTTGGATGCATATCATAATTTGTTGTTAAATTGCTATTAAATTCATAATTTTGCTGCTAAAGCATCGGTAAACACCAATTTTAATTGCATTAATAAAATATGAATTATGAAAGTAGGATTGTAGTGACTAATACAGATTTTCCCTATGATAATAATGATTTAAAATAAGATTAAAAAGTAGCATCTCCTCAAGGAAGAGGAAGTTAATGTACCAAAAATTATAGTGCAAAGCCAACTTGCCCCCCACCTCCTCCTAGACAAGTAATCTGCCTTGTATCAGTCAGAACAAAAAAAAGAAAGTTGATCTAGTAAAAAACTTACCCGTCTTTCAGGCTTTCTTTGCAAGAACTCTTACAGTGCCTGATAAAACTGCATGCTTTGTCTGTTACTCCTTGCCTGATTTCAAACTAAACATTTGTAATGGCATCACAATGTAGTCACGAACTTGAAAGCCTTTGTAAATGCATTAATTGTGAAAGTTGGGGTTTTTAACACCTTTTTCTAACTGTTAAGATGCGGAAAGTGTCAAATATGTTGGTAAGCTGTTGAAAAAGGTAAAAAGTGCCTAAACTGTGGTTTGATCTCTCCTACTCCTGCAGTGCAGGGAACATTTCAGCACAATGCTATCTCAAGAATTCAAAATAATGTAACAAAACTCTAACCATATGGCTTGTTAGGTAGGCACAGGAGCTCAGCACAGGGTTGGGTGAGGTCACCATAAAAATGAAAATATTTAAGAAAATCTAAGAATATTAAAATTGTATTTGCAAATATTGCATAAGTATTCCTAGACTGTTACAGAATAGATAGGTACATTTCTGTACCCATCAAACACTTAATAAAAGATAACTCCTCTAGGCAATTTGCAAACTATAGTTTCATCTAGATATATGTCATTGTAATTCAGGAACCTCCAGTTCTCAGTTTTTCTAAACAAGTATGCCATAATCTCTTCTAGCCCTGTTTCCGTCAGACCCTCATAAATCTACCACATGCTCTGTCTCCTCAGACTGCAGTCAAATTCACAAATATTTTAAAGGTATGGTGAAATACACATACAGTAAGTCCATCATCCTAGAAGGAGTTAGTAATTTCCTTTACCTGTGGTATATATTTCATTTTAACACATCTTTAATAGACACCAACTAATCATGTTTAAAGGCTACCCCTTTACTATTGCCCTTTATCCATAAACTGCTCTTTTCACTGACCTTAATATATAGGGTGAAGATAGGCAATCGTTTGATATAAATGCTTACATATATGATTTTGATATCAGTATACATAAGGTAGAACTAATTGGGCTGGACGCAATTTTCTTAATTTACAAGTGCATATATTTTTCATTCCAAGTCACCTAATACCCTCAGAAATACTGATGACCCTAAAATTCAATGCTTTTCCATTTTTTCCTACAGCCTGTATTTTGTAAAAGAATAAAAAACATAATGA